ACTTCACACTCCTGCTTACCTTCACAAATTTCAGGAAAGACGGAGCATAAGCCAATAGTGTCGGTCAGTTTAAAAGTGACAAATTAACTGCCCTGAAAGTAAATAAACAGCTATCTCTTTGTAAATTAATTCAATATGTGACTTGAGAGCTCTCTTCTGCAGCTGGAAAGCTGATTTATCATTCAGCAGCGTTTAAGTTGCCACTGGTTCAATGGCAGAGTATTAATGCTTTGTCCTCTTTGACACAGCAGGTCAAGTTCTGCACTCGGGTTACCACAGCACAACGCAGAGCAACTCCTAAATCTTCACTTCTGGCTGTCCAGATAGCCCCGTCTGCAACGAAGCAACCAAGTGCTCTTTGGAGAAGGCTTCAAGAAAGCTTGGGTTGTATCAGACAGTTGTTTTCTTCATTCATTTGGAGGAGAAAAAAAAAAAAGAAAAAGAAAATACCAAGGAAATCTAAACCAGTATCTTCTAATGACTGTCCCAGTCTTTTGGGACAGTTTAGTGAAACTGCAAAGTTAACAGGGGCAGTCCATTTCCATGGAAATACTTACGAAAGAGTGAGGGCACAAATACTCACCTTTTAAAACTTTTTTCTTCCCTGAATTAGATCTCAGTTTAGAAAAACAACTAAGCATGTGCTTAATGGGGAATATTGAGTAGCATTCCCAGTGATGACAAAACACACTTTTGTTTTATTGAACAGCAGCCCTAATTTATTATAGGATATCACCTTAATCGGTCCAGACACAAGATAAAAACCCTGGTTAATTTATTAGAGTCATGCACTAACTCAGTCTCCTGGAAGACTGTTCCCCTCTCAGTTCAGTAAAGCCAAATCCTGAGATTTTCAAAACTCTGCAGCATTTGGACCAGCCTCTCATTGCCTTTAAAGGACCTGTTTAGCTGAATTCTTCTCAGCTCAGTAAGGACCCAGGCCAACAATTTCAAACCCTGGAGCTTAACCGAAACCCACGTTCAACTGCCTAAATAATGTTGCCTGAGTGCCTTCAGCTACTATTAACATATAGGATATGCAAGTTCCTAACATTTCTGGAAACTAGAGCAGGCGCCCTCTTGACTTCTGACACTCACGTTTGATGTTTCTGGACACAAGGCTTCAAATGTCTCCTCTGAGCACAGCTGCGGCAGAGAGATTGTACACAAATAGAATAAAAATATTTCCAGTGCCTACACTCAAACAAACTCCACGGCTGTTTTCCATAACGTTCAGTTCAAAATGCTGACATTTGATTAAATAGTCTGAATTTGCCAAAGCATACATTTTAATTGCATTCTCTAATACCACTTTCTCAATTAAGCTTTTTCTAAAAAGACTTACAAAGTCAGCTTAAACCACAGTAAACCCAACACACTTCATATAATTTCTTAAGTTGTTGACTAATATTTTCTAATTTCCTCACTTCTTGTAGTACCACAGCTGCATTATTACCCCCAACAACTATCAGACACTTAAACAGCCAGCTTGTAGACTGCTTTACTACTACAAGCCTCTATACTTGATATTTTCCATGTTTTGCAGGAGGATGGGGTAGTAGCAAAGTTAAACATCTTACAAATATTCCATCTGTTGACATTTTCTAATAAATCCTAATAATAATTTCTAATATTAATGTTCATAATACTACTGCCATCAAGCACTGACTTAATGCAGCTTTTTTATATTTATACCTTTATACACACATTTCTACACGGCTGTACAACACAGGCCAGAAGAAAGGCTATTATACGAATGGCATATCACTCCAAACTATTAACTCCTATGAAAAATGATTCCTCCTGACAGTAAGAACAAGACCACAAATACGTTACAGGACAGAATAATTCTTATTTCATGCTCCTTATTTACTTTCATTGGATTTAACATTGCATTCGAGGTCATGAGCATTATGGCACTCTGTGGAAGTGACCCAAGCAATTTACAACTATCAACAAATAACACAGTGGTTGGAATAGAGTCATTACATAAGTATTACTGCTTTTTAAATGGAGCCATCACATAGCTACTGAAAAGTAATGTGTATTATTTTACACCCCCAGTGTGATGAATGTAACCAGGTAATTAAATCATGTCACTGCAGTGCCTGAAAAAATTTATAATTTTCCTCTCTCCTGTTATGAGGAACTGAATTTCTTCCATTATGAGTAGAAAATAATGAAGCCTAAGCTTTACTTTTACGAGAAGCTCTATGAAGGGAGGAAAAAAAAAGAGTAAGAAAGAAGACTTACCAGTTTCTTCATCTATGCTAAATCTGCCCAGACCACTGCCATCCCTGATGGAATACTGGATCTCTCCATCCCTTCCCGAGTCTTCATCCCGAGCAACAACTTGCAAAACACTTGTACCAACGCGGGAGTTTTCCTTTACAGATCCAATGATTGCAAAGTCAGGAAAATAGGGCGTATAGAGGTTTTCGTTAACATCCACCACTTCAACTTCCACAAAAGAGACGGAGGAAAGAGACACGGGCCGCCCTTTGTCCTTGGCGCGCACGGTCAGGTTGTAGAACTGCTGCTTCTCGTAATCGAGCTCTTTGTTCAGGCGGATGGCGCCACTCGCTTTGTCTATCTCAAACCGCCCGTTGTAATCGTTCACTAGCGAGTAGCGGACTTGACCTCCCAAACCGAGGTCTGGATCGTGCGTTTCCAACCAAGCGATCACGGTGCCCACGGGAAGATCTTCGAGGACCTTCACGTTATAACTAGATGGTATAAAGGCTGGAGAACAATCATTGACATCATCTAAAAAAATCTTCAGAGGCACCACAGAGAACTGCTGATGGCCACTGTCCGCTTTGTCCCTTGCCTCGATCTTCAGCGTGTAGTTTGCTTTTGTTTCCCGGTCTAGCTGGTCGGCCACGTACACCAATCCCGTAGAACTGTTGATGGCAAATTGCTGAGTGTCTGTCAATACTGAGTAAGTCACTTCCCCATTGGATCCTAGATCTTTGTCTCTGGCTTCTACTTGAATAATCTCTGTACCAAGACTTGTGCTTTCTAAAATGTTAACTGAATAACTGTCCTGCAGAAAAACAGGCTTGTTATCATTTGCGTCCTCTACAGTTACAGTCAGCAGTCGCCATGCAGATTTCTGTGGATTTCCTAAATCATAAATTGTAATATTAAGGAGATAGAGATCTGTTTTTTCACGGTCTAAGGGCATAAGAACTTTAAGTATCCCTGTCTCCATGTCAATGTCAAAACAACTATCTGTATTACCATCAGAAATTGTATAGACTACCTTCCCATTAAAGCCTGAATCTGCATCATAGGCTTTTATCCTGAGGATAGTGGCACCAACAGGCAGATCCTCTGAAACGGCTACATCAGTAGGGAAGGATTTGTCAAAATGTGGTGCCTGCCTGTTCACCGAGTAAAGATCTAGAAAGCCGTCTTCCAAATTCAGCTTCACATTAGCTTTTGCCTTTTTGAGTAATTTTTCTGCTAGCTTCTGAGCAACTCTAGTCTCCCTACAGCTAAAGGTCTTTGAGGACACTTTTCCATGAACCACTGAAATATTAACAAACATAGCATCAGCAAAGTTCTCTCCATCAGTAGCTGTTATTTTAAGGCAAAAATTGTTGTTCTTTATGCCAGAATTGATTAGAGACTTTTTAAGCTGCAGGACACCAGAATCTGGATTTAAATAAAAAATTCCAAGTTCATTTCCAGAGATTATTTTGTACTTCACAAGCTCTAGCTCATCTATGTCTATTGCAGAAACCGCCGTGATGTGACCACCAACAGGAAAGTCAGATGAAATCACCCCCTGACACGCTACTTTCTCAAAGAGGGGTTTGTTATCATTGACATTGCCTATGTATATGGTCACGTTCACCTCGCTCTCATGGCGGTAGGGAGAACCCCAGTCGGAAGCCCTCACGATGAACCGGTAGCTTTCCGGTGAGGACTCAAAATCCAGTTCTTCAGATGTGGTGATAATACCCGTAAACTGGTTTATTGTAAACGGCAGTGAATTCAGACTGGCAATGCTGTATGTTATGTATCCGTTTTCTCCCCTATCTTTATCAATTGCTGAAATGGCCAAAACGCTAGAACCCACGGGGACACTTTCGTTGATGAACGAGCTGTATGAAGGCTGCTGGAACTCTGGAGTGTGGTCATTGGCATCTTCTAACCTGACAGTAACATGTGCTTTCAAATTGCTACCTTTGTTTATGGACACTTCTAATTCGTAGAGGTCCTTCTCAATGATTTTCAAAGAACGAGCAAGAGTAATAAGGCCTGTTTTAGGATTGATCTTAAAGCACTCAGCATCCTCACTAGGAGATAATCTGTATTCCACACCTTGTGGTTCAGGCATGAGCTTGACTACTGCAACCACCACACCAGGAGGTGAAAATTCATTGATGGAAACATCATAGGCTTCCTTTTCAAATTTCACTGGGATGCTTTCTTTCTTGGGACTAGCAATATGGACCAGTTTGACTGCAGAAAATTTCTGAGGAGATCCTTTGTCCTTTGCTTGGAGAGTCAGATTATAACCGTACGGAAAACTGTCCCAGTCAATAGGTTTTCTTTCTTTTATTTTGTATTCATTCATCCATTTGCCATCTTTAGTCAGAAAGAACTGTTCTAGTGGATCTCCAGCCACAATAGAAACAGATTCAATTTCTCCATTGGCTCCTTCATCTAGGTCATCAATGTTAACAACTGCATAGGTAGGCTCCTTGTCTGATGGGAAGGGAATATGGGTTACAACATTTATAGTTGGGGCGTGTTCATTTATACGTTCAATGTGAACATAAAGCTTAGCAGTACTGCTTACTCCATTGTTTCCGTAAAGTTTCATCCCACGGTCCACAGCCAAGATCTCGAGATCATATCTGTTTTTCTCATCATAGTTTAATCGGCCACTTAAGGAGATAACACCGCTTGTCGGATGAACTGAAAAGAGATCAACCTTGTTTTTGAAGTAGTAATAAAATTCACCATTGGACCCAATATCCGCATCTGTGGCGGTCACCTGTGCAATGCTAGTCCGTAAGGGAGTGCTTTCTGCTATTGTCACAGAGTACGTGGTTGGTGAAAACAGAGGTCTTAAGTCATTCATATCCAAAACCTGGATGTTCACTTTTGTCCATGCTTCCAAGTCCTCTCCTCGGACTGACCCTTTCACTATTAATAAATAGTTGTCCTGGATTTCTCTGTTCAATATAGCAGAATTCCCACCTTTAGTCCTTATTCTTAGGAAACAAAAGTCAGCAATGATGACTTCCTCAGCTTTAAAGAAGCCCTCTTCATCACCAGACACTATCCTGTACTTGATATCCCACGAAAGGTCAGCCAAGGTAATGCCCATTCTTGTTTGACTGTTGACGTAGGTCCTGGCTGCTGAATTTTCGTACACTGTGGCATTGTAAGTGGAATGTGTGAAGTGAAAGCCAAGCGGGATTGTCCCTTCAGCTACCTGGCAGATGGCAGCCAGAAGCTCGAAAATCAGAAGGACATGGCAGGACGGAGGTGGCCGTGTGCCTGACCAGCAGCCCATATTCACCTCCATCACATCATTCTTTCACCCTGCGACGGGAAGAGAAAAGAGAAACAGTTAATCAGGAGACAAAAACTGTACTAAGAACTATCATTTTAAAATCACTTATTCAACCGTAATTGTTTAATTATAAAAAACATATTCAGTAATAGTCTCTGCACATTTTATAAAACAGAAAAGGAGGACACTATACACACGTGTGTGCCTATATATGCGTGTCCATCTGCATGTGTATGCAGATGAAAGCACCAAATTTGTATTTTGTATCATATTTTTATGTCCATGCTTTTTTAAAAAATATTCAAAAATAAAACTACAGGACTCTACCCACACCTATACATACACGCACACTAACCAAAATAATCATCATGTGAGAGTGGCAAAAAATAAAATCAAACACACATTACTGGATTAAGCTCACACAAGAGGATAAATCACACAGGAATTATTGTTTTTATTCATCAGTAGCTTCAGCTATGTTTCGACTTGTTAATTTTGGATTTTACTCAAAAATCCATTTTTAGTTCCAGTCTTTGGGAAGGAGATAGGATTACTGTTATGTGTGCAACACATTAATAGCCAAATATGATGAAGTTTTATATGAACAGTTGAGAAAGAACACATAATAAGTGAAATTCAAGCCATCAGGAAAAAGTGCATAACAAGCATTGGCCAGCCATAACCAGATACCTGCCCAAGAAATAAAATCAAGAATGATGCCTACTTAAAAACAATTGCATATGCACATGCATATGCATACACACACACACACACATAGATACAACAGAAGACAAAAAATGTAATGGAGAAAACAAAACTGCTTGACAAGTTCTCCAGTAAGTACTTGGAAAAAGGCCTAGTTGAGATTTTCTATGAGATTTAAATCTGCCCTGGAATAGATACTATATTGTATCTCTATATGTATATGATCACCCCTATCCACCAAATACACTGGGTAACAGAGAGTCAATAAGGACAAATGCATTTTTTTCCATATCATTTGTTCTACAGAATTCGAAATCTCACCACACAAAAGGCAGAGGTCTTCTCCAACCTTCCAACTTACTGCCTGCCCGACCTGATACGGACTGGCCATTCTGACCAGCAGGTGCTTAGAAGTGCTCTGGTTTACACGGAGACAATTCCAGCTTGCACCAGGTTTCCACTTTGGCATCTCCAAGGAGAACCAGGCTATAAATTCAGCCCCATTGCCTGCAGCAAGTCCCGTCCCACACATGAGCCCACTCCCATCACCAACTCAACTCACTAAGGACCTTCCACCCCGTGCAGAAAGACAACTATAAACAGAAGTATCTCAATATACAACTGATAACCAGCCATTTGAGATGGTTTGGAGTTCCTCCATACAGGCACCCGGAACATTCGCAGTGCCTTTCTTCAGGTACCTAAACGCGGAGGTTAAAAGGAGACAGAGCAAGCAAAGGGACCAGCCACAGAGGGCTGGAGATGATTCAGATGATGATAAATACTTTTTTTCCACTGCAAGGAAAGCGAAAGAGCCTGAGAAAACTGTGTAGATGCTTAAAGTCAGGGAGTGCGAATACCCTTCTTTGTTAGAGAGTACATTGACTGCTACGGGTGAAAATCATAAAAATCAATTTTAAAGGGCAATTATTAAAGGATCCTCTACGTACATACATTGTTCTAATCATCATTTAGAAGATGCTTGAAAAGGTAGTTTTCTCCAAGCTAGAACAGGAAAAGTTGTTAGAAATTACAGGGGTTAATTTAAATTTCCAGCGTGATTTCAATACCCCTAGGAGATAACGGCATGCAAGTTTTGGAATATGAGTCACAGAATCACAGAACATGAATTCATATTATTTATGACTACCAACATAGCTGAATGACTTTAAAGTAATAATGACAATCACTCTATTGCACTGATGATATAATGTTCACGAAAATACTTAACTTCCTGATCCCACAGTCAATATAGGATATTACTGAACCCATTAATCACCTTGATCAGTTCTCCCAAGTATTTGTTGAGATGCTTGTCTTTCAATACACTTATCTTCACATCTAACTCCTCCCCCACCCACACTTTGGTTCTTTTGTATTTTCTTCTGTGTTTCAAGAACTGAAAAAAAGGGAAATCTTTAAAAAGAAAATAAAAGCAGATGATATCATCTCCTGGACTCTCATACTCAAATAACCAGCAAATCCTCATAGAGCTACACATGGGGCTTTCTTGTCCTATTATGCCGATCTGACTGTTCTGTACATATCGTACAAGTCGTATAAGTCAAACAAGCATTTTAACCTGCAGCTTATTGACAGAATATGCCAGTTTTCAAGCACGCTCTGGGTATGCAAGGGTCCTGTTGACTCAGATTGATCCCCGATTGATCCAAACAAGGAGGAAATTTTTCTACTGCACTTGGAAAGACTGTTTGGTTTTGTTTCCATTTCCCCCTACTGAAAGATGTGCATAGTGACAAACTATTTTTCCATACCACAACCAATCATGAGCTTAATCTAGCAGCATGCAAATCTCCAAGCCCCTTCTTTTCCTGGGGCTTTATGTTGGCCACGTAGAGCACAGCCGCCAAGAACCGCCTGGCGTGGGAGATGCTGCTTGGGCAAGCGCTGCACTGTACGTGGCCATGGACAGCTCAGCTCAGGGGAACTACAAACACTAACGAGGCACCAACCAATGACCAAATTCAGCGGCTGGGCCTCTTCTGCAACACAGCGTTTTCAGATACTCAACAGGCAAGAACCTGAGTTGCTGTCTGGGTCCCCAGGGCACATCAGCATCCAAGGAGGTGGATTTTTTCTGGTTGATGATGGAGATTGATGCTGTGCTTCAGGTGAACCAGAGACTCTGTTTAATCACAGATCTGCAGCTTCTAGGGCTCTTTGGAGTAAGGAAAGGAACAGTATTATCCAAACAGTATTATGGCATTTGGCAACCTCATTCCTCTTGTCCTTGCCATAGCTCAGTCTGAGCTGGCTCCTCTCTGCCGTTCATGTTCTCCCCAGTGGTCATTACCAGCAAATTTTCAGCTCTTCCACTATCTGAAGTCAGTTTTCCTATGAAATTCATCACTGCAAGTGAAAATTATATAAAACTTTACCTTCAGGTTAGCCATGCACAAGCTTACAGACTCTGCAGGGGCTAATAGACATCAAATTGGGTATTTGTGAAGCTATGTTATTAGGAGAAGTTAACGAAAACCTAATGAAAAATCTGTGTATAACCCGGGCAATATAACATGACAAACTTAGGTTCCCTTACTATTTATCCATTTATTTTTAGAGAAAACCAGGGCCGACACCTAAGGACAAATACATTACTATAAACCCACTCATTTCAATAAATGAAGTCCATGAAGTTTTCATCGATCCAGAAATACTAAATTTAACCTAGGACCATCATATGTTATATGTATAACATATGTTATATACATAAACATGTGTGTATGCACATGCGTTTAAGTTATGTACACATGGACACATAAACACACCACTTTGTATATTTTTAGGCATACTTTCAAGGTTGGCCCTGGAAAAAGTGGACCTTCACATCAAGCAGCACTTTCAAACTTTGATTTTATTTCATGTGGCACGTAACATTGTAACAAGCTGTGCCCTGAAGTTATTCATCTATCCATATATTTACGTGACCATCATCATTACATTATTTGAGAGTCCCAATGGATGCACTATTAAACTGCCACTTGGGCTGCCCAAGAATGTTTTATTCATTTACTGAATTCCTTTCTTCTGGCATATTTGCTTTTAAGAGTTCATAATACATACATACTTAACACACAGGAAATGTAATGTGATAGGTTACAGAAACAAAGTACAAAGCAACCCACCATAAATTACGGGGTACTTCTTTAAAGGCCCTTCTTGGGCCTTCTTGTCAAAAAAATGTTATGGTTTCAAGTGAGGAGAAAGATTGTGATGGCTTGTGTTTGATTTTTAAACGTACAGGCAGGAATCATTCAAAAAGAAAAAAAAGTCCCCTGATATTGCTTGACAAGGTTAGTCTGAAGAAAAGAAAAAGCTCTTTTACAAGAGCAGTGATTAAGAAACAAAACCTCCTTCCAACTACTCAGGAAGGCAGACAAGATGACTCAAAATAAGAGTTCAGCACCTTTCCACTCCAGCTCGTATTAAATCCTCTGGGTCTTGAAGTGGGAAGAGAGGAATGGAGAAATAAAAAGGTGCATCACCATTCTTAATAGTCTTCAAAATGAACTTCAGCATCATGGAGAAATCTGTAATTTCACATTTAATTCTCTACTCCGCCACTTGTTCTTCACTCCTTTAACAAAGATTCTCTACACAGCCCAAAACTTGTAAAGCAGCTGCATGGACTTGTCGATTGCTGCTGCTCCTTACAGAAATAGTGAAAGGTAAGGGTAGAATTTCTTTCTCCTTCTTGGCTCTGGCAGCCTTCAGCCTGGGCTGCTTCCAAGCACAACACCCCACCAGACTGGGAACAGAGACTAAAGCTCCGAGAGCTGCCACGATCCCCACACAACAGAACTGGGGCTCCAATTCAACGTGCTGATACAAAACAAGTGCTATGTTCGAGTGCCACTCCTGAGGCCAATTCCTCTAATCCCAAAGACCTCCATGCCATGGAATGCTTGAAAAAGAAAACTTTATAAATTTATACCTCTTGGGTAAGCACTGAAAACATTAAACAAGTGCCAAAAGGAGTTTTACAAACGTAAATAATATATCAGGTAAAATTATTCAGCAGACGCAAGGAATAATCTTTTAGTCAGCCACAAAAGGGAAAAAGAAGAAAGTCTTCTCTATCTCTCTAAGTGCAATTACACCCTCTGAGCAAGGACCAGTTCCAGGCAATTGATGGGTAGAGTGTCTTGGGTGATGGCACCACCTATTACAGAATCACAGACTGGTTGAGGTTTGAAGGGACCTCTAGAGATCATCTAGTCCAACCCCCCTGCTCCAGCAGGGACACCCAGAGCACGGCGCACAGGGTGGCATCCAGGCGGGTTTGGGAGATCTCCAGAGAAGG